TTGATGAGAGAGTATAAACTTTATCAAGTTGACAAGGGCAACAGAATTGCATGCTATAGGATTTTGTTCTAAGTAAAGTAAAACCAAATTCTTAGAACCAACATCCCCAAAACACAATCAGACAGGAGAATATATGGGCAGAAAAAAGAGGAGTAATCAGTTATATTTGACACTGTCTGTTGACATTGACATTGTTTGCTTCTACTGCAGTTTTGATAATTTTTTTGAAAACTGTAACTAAAGAAAAGTTTAGAGTGCCATATTTAAGCAGCAGATTGCACTGATAAGCAGACTGTTTAGCAGTCTTGAAAGCCACACAGGAGATATTGAGAGGGCACTAGAAAAGGCGATTTACACTTTTTTTTTTTTTTGAGTGATATAGCTTGAAAGCAACCAAACATTTCTTGTGTTTTCTCTACATCTGAAGTTTGTTAATATCAATCAATCAATCAATACTTTATTTACCCATATGGTGTTAAACAAATTGAAAGTGCAGCCTGTTGTTGTCATGTATTAATTTTGAGGTGTTTCAGTTTTCTATGGGTGTACTGGTATTTTAGCTCAGCTATTTTGTAACTAATGATAACTACCTCAAAGGTAGTGTTGTGTGTAAAAGTTAACTAAGAGAGCAGTCTATTAGTGTAACTATATAAATGTATATGCAAGGAATTATCTGTTCTTAGATTGATCAAAGCATGGTTATGGTTTACTTTGCTACAAATTTAATTCTGAACCTTATGGTTCATTAAGTATATGGCCATCACTGTAAACTGTTGCCCAGTATTCAACAAGTTTTTGACCATTTCTTAAAGATGTTTGTGGTGAGATGTATGAATTGATACTAGTAGATACTTAAGGGCCTGTGAACTTGTAGCTTGTGCTCAGTAGTTTTTGTAGTAATGCATTGAATTTTGCAATGGCTTGTTACAGAAAAATAAGATAGCCAGAAATATTGTAAGAAATATATGTAACTTTGTTGAAAGACATGTTTCGGCATGCATATGCCATCTTCAGTCAATGAGTAACTGAGTGTGAACAATTATATAGTATACAGAATGAAGAAGAATGTAGATGAATAAATTATTTATGTACAATCTGATGTAATACAAAAGCGGGTACTGATTACAATGCCACACCAACATATCAAACTAGTTTTCACTTCTTTTAAAATTAAAAACATGTTTAGTGTTAAAGATCATACTCCAATTTTCTTGTACGGGATGTAATTCCCGTTATATTGGCAAAACTACTCACCACTTTTCTACTGGGATAAAGGAGCACACGGAAAGCGATAAAAACTCGCATATTTTTAAGCATTTCAACACATCTCCTTCTAAGAACAAATACTCTCCTTCTTGTTTTAGTATTCTGGATTCTGCTAACAACTCAATTTTAAAACTCAAAGAAGCTTTTTATATAAATAAGATCAAACTTGAACTTAACAAACAATTACAGCATTATAACACTTTTCTTGCATTCTAGTCTACACATTATTTTGATGTTTTGGTGTCATGTTGTAATTAGTACCCGCTTTTGTATTACATCATATTGTAAATAATTTATTCATCTACTAGTATACTATATAATTGTTCACACTCAGTTACTCATTGACTGAAGATGGCATATGCATGCCGAAACATGTCTTTCAAAAAAGTTGTATATTTCTTACAATATCTATCATACTTGCTATTACTGCAACCTTATGGAAAAGTCAGAAATATATGGTTAAAAATAGCACAGTGGTATGAAATAACAGTATAGTGCTTATGTTATTGAAATAACGGTGGACTACATAGTGGTGTTAAGCTCCTGTCCCCTTCCTTAAAGAAGAACTTGGCTGGGAAGGGGAAGTGCAGCTGTACAAATGTGAGAGAGAGCATGATAAAAAAAGGCAGCTTACTTATGGAGAAGGGTAGAACTCAAACCAAGTGCTTCCTCTTTTCAAGTGTTTTGATAGTTATCTTTTTGGCTCATAAGTGAACAGTGCATACTGAAATAATGGTATATTGTCCACTAAAGGCTTTGAAATCTTAGATTACTCTATTGCCTCACTCACTGCTTTTTTGTGCTATTTTTTTAAAATAAAGTATGGCCGTGTAGAAACCTTAAAGCTTGTTACTTTACAGGGCAATTTCCTAAGAGGGCTAGGAAGGGTTTGAATGGGTCTTAGAAAATCTGGAAAGTCATTGAATTCCATGACCTAAGCATTACTTTCCAGGTCTAAAAGGTAATGGATATCTAGAATTAGTCTCGGGGAGTCACAGAAAATGACCAAAAATAATATTTTACCAGAGAAAATCAAAACAAGGATAGTTGGAGTGAATCATGGCTTTCCACAACAATGCGAGACTGAAGTCACAAAACATAAAAAAAGGCCAGGCAAAAAGTTAAGAGTAAAGGTAAAGTCTGTTTACAAGCCTAGTGGCCCATTAGGCCATTGCTTAACTCCGGTTTCTGTAGCATGAAGCCACTAGGAGTATTTCTACTCCCCCCTGGATGGGATGCCAGTCCATCGCAGGGTTACCCCCAGCATTAAATTGCCGGTACCCATTTAAACACCTGGGTGAAGAGAGGCACTGTGAGAGCAAAGTGTCTTGCCTAAGTTGTGTTATAGGGAAAGCTAGGAACACACTTGCGCAACAAGAAATATTCTAACTTGTAAACTTTTAATGTAGCTGAACTGTTAATATTTAAACAAGATCAAATGCAAAAGGAATCTAACCTTGCTGTTCTTAAACCCAGTCATCAAAACAATAAGGGCTAATGAATAGTGTTTACTCCTTCCAAAACATCTAATAACAAACTGTTTAATAAGGACAACTTGAGCCAAACTATGATCCTTTTAGTTTGTGGAAGGAACTGCTCTCTATCAAAACAACTAGTGAAAGTATCCCTTGTGCAGCAAAACTTTTTTTTTTTGTAGACTTCTGCATTACGGGCCTTTTCTACCCAAAGAAATTAATGAAAGACATTATATACTATTATTTAAATGACAATTTGAAAAATAATGAGTAAATTTTTTCCTGAAAGAATCTTTACTCAGGTTTACATATTAATCAGTAGATCAATCAATCAATTCAACAACAAAAAAATTCATGGCCTGGAATAAGAGCATTTACAGGTCTAGAAATGACCACATCGTGTCTGGAAAATAAAATACTTTACTTGTCATAATTAAAACTGGAATGTTAAGAATATAATGGGACAACATAACCAAAAGTAGAAGACACTTTACTTCAATATCATCCAGTAGTTGTTGATGTTTAAGGAGGAAAAGCTTTTTAGTTATTACATATAACTAGACTTTTGAAAATATGTTTCAGTACAATTAGCACCAGACTAATTAGCTTAGCATTTTTACTCAGGCTTCCTGTGGAATACTCGAGTTATAAATTGAGCTTCCTTATTTCCCTCTTGAGACGCAAAACGCAGTCCAGCAAGTAAGGCGCATGCGCTGAGTATGCTTTTTCAGTTGCGAAAGTAAGAAAACAATTATGCATTCAATCATGAAGTATATACCCAGGTAAGCTTTAAAGCACATGGTTGTCATGGTCGCCAGAAAGACGCCCCACGATTCAAGGGTAAGTATGTCTTCACACACTGTTCATGGTAGACCCACACTAAAAGATGTCAAGCGTTTTCGGAATGGTTGGTCTGCGAACTTTACAAGATATCAACTTATGAGCAAATATTTTTGGAGTGAACCTTCTTATCAAGAGCTATGCTACATCAAATGAACTATCCACTGAACTATCTAATGTAACCTTAAAACATAGCCATAAGCATCGTTGAGTATCTAGCTTAAATTTGTCAAAATGTAAATTAAACAACACTCTTCATCAGATTACATGCCTTTGTAAACATTCCTAAGCAAAGAAGCCCGAGTTCATGCAGTTATGCGTCTTAAGTTATTGAAGTAAAATGTTCAGACCTAATATATACAAGTAGGATAAATCATAGGGGTAAATCTGTAGTTTGGAAAATTTCAAACAAGTAAACGCAAAGTTTAATGCATTAAAGCCAGATTTTCTCACACAAGAATACTACCTAACTCTAGTGGGGAAACATAGAGAACCATGGTGGGCCCCCCTCCCCTCCAACCACTACTAAGACAGTGCCTTTTGCAATGAAAGCTATTTCTATTTCTGAAGCTCCCTTTCACACCTAACCACCAACCGACTGTCATACAATGTACATGAATTTAACTGTTTTGGGGAAAAAAGCCATTACTGAGAAGGAAACCTCACTCAGTAGACTTACACTACTAATAGTTGACAAACTTTCCCTCATATATTTCTAAAACTGTACGACCTCTTCTTATTTAAAGATCCTAGTATAAGAAGAATTGAACACAACATCAGCACTTGCTGGGACTGCCATCTAAATTTTTCATGAAACTTTTTTTGATTTTACTTGATTTAATTTCAACTTACCTTTGAAAGTTCCAATTAATGTTTGGTTATTACAATTGTACCAAACATGTCACTAGCCATGAGGCTAAATGAGCTAAAAGTTAAAACTGCTGGAACTACTGCAATTAGCAACTAGAAAAAAGACAAAATATCAAAATTTCCTGCAGCTATACTATTGTTAACCAAACTGCTCTCTATTTAAGGTGCTCAAAATTGCAACTCTTGTTGTTGCCATGATAAATAGAACAAGGAACATAGTTTACAGCTTGAGTAGCTAGTCTCGTGACTGCCTGTGTTAAGGACACTAGCTAGAAGGCTCATTTTTATTAAACTGATTATTGATTATTTCACTAATTTCAGAATGATCTTAGGAACATATTTACAATGTTTATCTGTTTTTCTATCGGTTTGTAATTGAAGCTTTCAGCATCATCACACGCATTTAAAAGGCAAGTTTAGCATCCCTTTAATCAGTTCTTTGCAAGTTTTGAGTAGTCTTAGTGAACTTTTGCCCTTTTGTTTTCTCAACCTTTGGCACAAGCGGGACCGATATGTGAGTACCTTTCTAACTTTGTTTTTCTAGTGTAGTTTTTTTTCAGCATTGGGCAACAATATATGAACAGACATTCCGTTGAATTTCCATATTCTCGATTGATTTAAGTTTAAAGGCCAAAACTGTACCAAATGCAAGTGAATGCCCACCAATTAGATAAGAACAATGGGCTGTTAACCAGCCCCCAAAATTCTTGTAATTTGTATTGAAACTTTTGTACTGGTTTATTTGTTCATTGTCATTTTAATCTTCTTATTGGTGTTAAGGCCCAGTTTTTTAAAAGCGATTCTTTGATTATGTATTCCACAACATTTCATGAGATTGATAGAACTTCATAGTATTGTTGTTTCAGTTTAGGATCGATAGATTGATTAATTGTGAGATTGATTGTGATTTTCATCATTGATTGTGGTTTGTGGTCTATATTGCCTTTCAAGAATAAAGATTTGTGCACACAGTCAACTTTGTTTTGTTATCACAATCTGTTAAATAGTCCCCAAACACCTCATTAACCACGTCTTTTAACTTCTATGATATTTCCTTTCAGAAATAGCCTACTTCTCTAAATTTCTTCTAGTAAGCTGGACATAATGCATGAACATTTCCATCAAGTCTGATGGGCCCCCTGCTCCCCCTGCTGATGGGCCCCCTGACCCATCAAGTCTGATGAGCCCCCTGCTCTCCTGCTGATGGGCCCCCTGCTCCACCCAACTCCTCAACATAAGGAGTATCAACCCCCTTAGCAGCTTGCAGGGAGATGCATTTTTCTCCTTCAAAAGTACAGCTTTAAACTGATCCAAGAAAATTTCTTGCCTCGTAAAATTTTTCCATGCATCAATGAAAACATTGAAGAATCTCTGATTCTCTTTTTTGCTAATTAAATTGAAAATTGGAAAAAAATGAAGAATTTCAAACTCTCCTCAGCAATCTCCAATCAGCATAACTGAAGCCCACTCAGACACCCTAGTGAAGCTGTTGTTTCTCATCCACTTCATGGCCTGGTGAACACATTCACTGGGACTTTCTCTACTGTGAAGGCATTCATAGAACCAATGCCAAGCTGCTCTATTGCTGAGTCCAGTATGGCCCACAATGCAACCAGTACTGATCTGATCTGTCCATTTGCACTGTGACAATAGCTAAGTTCAACCTGTTTGCTTCTGACTTTCACTAATGAAATGTCAGCCATTGTCAACATATAGGCTTCCCGTTGAGGAATAGTGTTTGGAATGTCAGGACTGTTTGAACTCTTTCAGCATTGCCATGGGCAGCAAAATGCATCAGGCTCACTGAAATCATCTGCTCAAGTGCAACCTGCTTTGATACTCTTCCCCTTACCAGAGGTGCAACATCCATTAGTCCACCAACCATCTCTGTTTCCTTTTTTCCATGTGGTAATGGTGGCAACCAGGCAACCTAAGGATCACCCATTATCTGAGCACTGGTGTCACTGCAATATCCAATGGACTTTCTTGAATGAGCTCGAGTGTCATCGGAGAAGCAACAAAAGGAATCCTACAACTCTCTTTGCCAAATCTTACTAATTTTCATAACTTGAATTACACATCTTATGGTAGTCAATTCTCTAAGACCGTCCTTATAGTCTGGGAAATTAACCATATCATTACTTATGTCTACCAAATGCCTTATCTACTCTGTTATGATAGTGCTTGAGGGTTCCTTTAGGAATCTTGCTAGTCATTTTATGTTTCAGCAGGTTACTGACTGTTTTGTTACCACCTATCATCATCATGGTCATCATCATGGTCATCATCATCATCAGATGGGAAAATTTCATCCTCTTCTCTTTCATCTTCCTCTTCTTCCTCAACATCCTGAACAACTGGTACTTCCTGCTCATCATCTAATATTCTTTTCCTTGGAGGTTTTGGTGGTAAGGCAATTTCATTTTTAACAGTCTGCAATAAGGAAGAGTAAGAACTGGTTATGATCAAGTCACATACACAATGTTAAAGTCAACCAACGTAGATGTTAAGGATGAAGCACATCATCTGAGTGTATGATTTTCTTTTAGTGCTAACCCTGAAGTTTTTAAGAGGAAACTGGTAAAAATAATTATTGGAGTTGCAATAAAGATCTTAGGAAACCAACAAATTATCAAATTAAAGAGGTTAGCAATGAAAGCATTTCCTTCCATTTTCTCTTCAAGCTATTCGAGAGATTTTTAGAGGGCAGGGTTAACAGGCCCATTAGTCTTGCTGATCATCCCTCAGGGAATGCCAGTCTACTTCAAAGAGCAGGCCAACAAAAGTGTGCACAAAAATTTCTTACATCAACATCTACAAAAGATAAAAAATAAATGTCCAGAGATTTGTGATAGTTAAGAGTACATCTATCAGTCTTTTCTCATACTTGTAACAGTAACTGCTGATATTGATTGTCTCTCATTCTGGGTTGCTTTTGAGGCGTTTCCTTAAAGCCTCGCCTTAATACATGGCCAAGGTCTTCAGATGACATAATGTCAGCTGGGTCTAGCAAGTTGTCATTGACAAGTACAACCAGATACTCTACATAATGCTTCCTGAAAGATAAAAATCAAAATGACTTGTGAGGAACATCATTGCAGAGTATTTTACTTGACTCAAAGTAGTAAATGTTTGTGGCATTTTATTTAGCAGGACTTTATTTTTATGTAAACTAATTTTTGGGGTTTTGAAGACTATACACGTAATCTGTAAGTATAAAAGCAGGCAAAATTTTCTTGCCACATGAGGGAAACTCTAATATATTTACTTGCAGAGCCCAGCATATCCAGCTTGAACTTGTTCTCCACACTCTTCATCGCGCAGGCCATCCACAGTTTCTTTCTGCTCATTCACTTTGCAGACCAAAGGTGCAGCTGCTCCAGCTTGCTCATCAGCATTACCTTAGTTTGAGGAAATTAAAACACCTTTATTTTAAAAGGTACTAACAGGACAATTGTTTACCTGACCACAACTTTCATTCAAAACAAAAGACAGTTGTTTATTGTAATCTGTAAAAGGATGTCTTAATGAGTCAACTTCACTTAGAAGTGTCATGATTTTAGCTTGTAAGTTCAGTTTTCGCACTTAAATATTTTTAAAAGAAAAAAAGTTGGCTTGCTGTCGCATGTGTAATTTAGTTGGTTAGACGTTATCATAGTGATATGATTTGTATTCAAAGTCTTTATGGGGAGGGTGTCAGACCGTTGATCTTATAGTTAGTCTTCATTCAGTTAAGGATGTTCTTAAGTTGAAGATTCTGTTTTCTCAATTTAGTTCCTTAGGTTTGCCATTTCCAGATAGTTGGAAAAAATTTTCCTAACAGCTAACTGGTATCTAAAAGGCACTGGTTCAAGCCCTCTATTTAAGGCAAACTCCTCTCTCTGGCTTTACCTTTACTTACTAAAGAACATTTTGCCAACCAACTTGAATTAGATATCCAAAAATTAGGCCCACCTTGACCTTCCGGTGGTTCTGTATTGTAAGCCACATTATTGTCATGTAACAGCCTCTGAAGTTCTTCTGGCTGAAGATCTCTCAAGTAGAAGTAACAATCACGTGGATGGTGAGCATGTAGTCCTCTGACGGTGCATTGATTTGACACAGGGCAGTTCTAAAACGGAAAATGTTGAAATAAGTTCTACCTGATTAAACTTAAGAATGTTTACTTTGATTTCCATCCTCATCAAATGAAGGTAAGTTGAATCAAGGAAGACAACTGGCAAAAAAATAGCTGGAACCAAGGAGTTCCTTTTGACCCTGATGACAAATTTCCCTCAGGTCGTTGAAATGTTGCAGATCATTCCCTGTCATTGACTAAAGTACTATAAAGAATTACTCTTACCCAGACGATCAGACTTTATGACTAATACAATTCATTATTACATCCATTTTGAAATCACTGGTGGTCCCTGTAATCTGATTGGCTCTAATTGGTGCGATTTATTCACGAATCGCACCATTTTTTGCTCTAAATTGCATCATTTTACGCTTGACTGAGTTTTGGACACATGACATCAGTCTTTCTGTTTTGCATACAAAATAAGATGTAAAAGTGTTTCTGGTTCCACTATTTATTTAAAAACCAGCTCAGTACTGCATCAGTAAAATATTTGAATTGACCAAGTCCGATTTGGGCGATTTCAAAATGGATGTAATAGAGTGGTAATTGAACTTCACGTCGTGCAATTTTGGTCTGAAATCATACTTGTGATTTCAAATTGAATTTGCGCTGCGTGCTCGTTCGATTTTGAAATCACGCATTTGATTTCAGCCCAAATTGCACTCCACTCAGTTCAATTACCATTATAAACCATCCCCTTGTTTTGAGTTCCACCATCGTACACCACACAACAGCTACAGTAATGTTATTGTTAGCAATAGCTATGTCAGAACACCAAGCCAGGATACCTTAGCTTGATACTTGTTTTCTAGGTTTAGTGGTTAGACCTAACTCCTCAGCAAAAATAATGTGAAAGGACATAGTGGTCTCAATCAACTGCTTCTTTTAACAAGTTCCATCTTTAACCAATTCATTAGAAGAAGAAAAAAAAGGAAAAATAAAGTGTCACACCATGTGCAAAAGTCGATACGAGAGCACTGACCACCAATTTCAAATTAGTAGTCATTAAGCAAAATGAAATAAGTTTTCCACTAAGCAAAGAACTTTATTTTTTCCTAATAAGACAGTCATAACCATCAACATCTAGTTTAATTTGTACCTGTCTTTCTGCATGAATAAATGAGTTGTAGCAGCCACTGCAGAATTCATGTGAACACATGGCACACTTGAAGTGCATGCAACCTCCCTTGGATAGGTCATATCTAAACTTGCAGTTGGGGCACACTGAAAGTGACAAAAAAATTAATTTAATTTAGTTAATCAAATTACCCACTGATATGCACACAGCTAATGAATTTATTACAATTAATTCATACAACTACTGATACTGAGTCACTTCAATAAAATTGAACAATTGCATTACTGGGAACAAACAATGATTCCAACAAGGCTCAGAAGTGCCAATCAAAGTGTAGGACCAAAAAAGTAATAAAGACAGCAAACTTAAATGGAATTTATTTCTTGTTTCCTGTAACCCCGATTGATCAGTTTTGTGCAGCTAGGGTTACCCAGTTAACAGTTCAAATATAAACTATAGTGTCATTCATGATAAGACAATGTCCTTAAAAAATGGTAAACCATTTCAATGTCAGAGTGAAATTGTCAGTGCCTGCTTCATTTACTGTCAATTTTTGTATGAACATGACTAGTCAGTATCAGATCTTATTATTATCTATCACCCATTCTGATGCAATCCTGCCACTGATGTGTTAAAAAAAAAAAATATTTTCTTTACCAATTCCATTCCTCTTCAAGTGGGCTGCCAGTCCTGCAGCTTGAAAGTCAGGATCATTTTGTTCCATCCACGCCCTAAACTGTTCACATGTGATACCCTCGTGCTGGTCCTCCCACTATAAACATTTTAAAGTAATAGAGAAAAATTCATTTAGCTTACGTTTAAAAGAAGTCCAGAGTGTTGGCATTCTGATTAAACAAATTAAATGAAAATACTGGAGTTACATGTAATTGTCCAGGGTGTTTACTAAGCATTAGAGATTGAAGAAGGCTACAGCTTCAATCCAGAATTCAGTTGCCCGAGCTGTTTTTCATCCTGACATGGTAAAGATGTGCCTGCTGAAAACCCTTCTGTTATCTGTGACAGTCACTGACCTTTTGAGCAGAGGTCAAAATCAGGATGAATTCCACTCGGGTTGCAATATCATCAATTACAACGCGATTTGTGGAAATAAAAGGTAATGTTTAGCAATTCAACAGCTGGTAATGACCTGTAAAGATCTAGTTTGTTTACCTTCATTTTAATCAACTGTATCTAAAAGAAAGCATAGGGGGGATTGCCGATTATCATACCATCGCCATTGTAATAATTATAGCTATTTTGATAATCACTAATGATACCTTTGGATTGCATTGAAAACAAGTAAACTGGTGACAGTTAGGACAAGGCATCTTTAAAATCTCAGGCCTTTCATTTATGAACCCTGATGAGCACTAAACAAAAGAGTAACAATCATTATATAACATAATTACCACAATTATTATTATTTTTTTCTATTTAAAGCATTTTTTGTGTGTGTTGTTTTTACCTTGTTAACTTTGTAATTCACCCTTGGTAGTGATGCAAGAGAGACCCTTTAAAATTGAACTTGACGCTTCCAAATCTTAGCTGAAGTTCAACTCAATAACAGCCAACTGAGAGTGATGGATGAAAATGCCAGTCACAACACTTTTTCAGAGACCATCAACAAGAAAATATAAGATTCTTTTGGAAAATCTCTCCCATTTGACTTAGACAAGCTTGCAAGTATAAAATACTTTGAGACACCAATTCTCTAATATTTGGGTGAACATAAACACAATTCCCACTCCATAAACCATTCCTAAGGATTTAGGTAAATTGCTTCCAAGGGTTCTACTTTAATGTATTCTTGCATCTGGGGGTCTACATGTTAGCAAACTTAACTCCAAAGTAAGTGGTCTAAGTTTTAGCATAGTGCATACTTATAGTGTGGGCCAATTGACACCCTTGGCTTCTCTGCAGACTTCAGCACACCTTGTTTTTTAGTTCAACTTAGAAGAAAGTTTCTTAATAGATGGACATTATTACAGGTAAGTTACCTACAGGTAAGGTGCCAAGAAGATGGAACTTACATGTTCGCACCACCTGAAGTTTGGCTCCTTCATAAGTGTTCTATCTCGGAGCTTTTGTTGAAATAAGTCATGAGTTCCTTGATCAACCAGGCCACGGATCTTTATTAAAAGGGAAAACAAAGACTCAGAAATGTTTATTTTCTTTGATGCACACAGAGCAAAATTACCAAATGCAAATTGTCATCAGGAGGGCATTATTGCCCAATCCTGATGGGCTCATAGTGTATCAAAGACAATGAGTTATGAGAAAGTGTGTTACTTTGATTTTTGACTTGCTTATTATATTTCATTGTTAAGCTTACCATGATATCAAAGTTATTGAAGTATTCTGTAGCTACAGCTTCATCCTCTAAGTTTTCAGGTTTCCCACAAACTGGACACACAAGGTGCATTATATTCTTGTCTCGAATGGTAATTGTGATAAACTGTGTGACACAGTCTCGGCAAACACTGTGTTGACAGTGGAGGAATGTGATCATCTATGAAAAAAAAAAGTGCAATGAAACCTTATTAAGCCCAGCTAGTATCTGTATCGATAGCAAAGAAGGCAAAATAATTAATTCTTCCGCCAAATGTTTCCTGTAAATGAACGCCTGCTTATGATGGACAACTCTATTGAGCAGATGCAAGTACCAAAATAATTTAGTGCTTTTGTCATAAGAAACTGTTAAAAGTATTCCTCAAAATTATCATGATGATAAAAAATTCATTAGTCAAAAATTTTCATTCTGGTATTTAAGTTTTGTTCTTTCTACCCAGACTGGTCATGCAAGTTCAAAAAGCTGCTGATTACTCACACTGTTCTATTGGGAATAAATAATACAATTCAATTATATAGGAAAATTGATCACCTGACTCGTGAATTCTGTGTTGAATTGCCCGCAAAACCAATATCGCATGAATTGCAATGATGTGAGTGCGATATCAGTTTTCAAGTACAATTTAATATGGAAAAATCATGAGTCAGGTTAATGGATTTTCCTCGAATTGCATACTTAAATAGAAATAAATAAAAAAAAATAAAATAAAATAATATTGTTTGTTTTTATCCTTAGTGCCAAACAAGAGATGCAAAACAATATCACTTAGCTTTGTTTTCACCTTGCAATTCCATGCTAAATACCTTGCTTCATTAACAAATCACAATGGGAGATTTTATTCAATTATGTGATTCTATGGTTAATTTATGAAGTATTTATTTATCAAGTATTTATCAAGTATTTATCAAGTATTTAGTCATCCTGAATTAAGCTGACACTAGTCTTGAGGGTGTCTCCTCAAAAAAGATTAGGAAGTAACACTTATCAAATGTCAGTATGCTTTGATTGTTTAAGATAAAACAAAACAAAATCTTCACAAAATCACATTTATTTAGTAATTCTCCTTAGTGTCTGCTATACAATTCTCATGATGTTAGTTTGGAGAATTTGGTTTTGGATCAACTAATAATCCCTAACTGATATTCCTCTATCAATATTACCATCCCTTATCTGCCTGATATTGTATTTATTGTAAGGAGGAATTCTGTCTTGGTCTACATGGGGGATAAAGAGTTCAAAACACACCTGAGTCCTAGGCAATTGATCTGTACACAGTGGGCACTCTTGTCTCAGAAAGCGTACGCAACATCTGTAATCCCTGCAACTGCCGGCAGCTGTAAGAGAGTCATCCACTTCAAAGCCCTCATCAATTAATTTGATGACAATGTCTGCCTTGCCCCAGGAAGAAACATCTTTTTCTGCCAAAATGGCTCTGATTCGCCGCTGAAAAGAACACTAAGTGTAAGCTGACCTAATAACAATTTACTAGCAGAATATCAGCATTTTAAGTAAATTTCATTATGTAGGTACTTTATTGTTCAACAAACCACAATCAACTGTATGTATTTATCACCTCTGAAAACTGAAAAAGGCATACTCAACAATTTCAAATACTTACGCCTGAAACACTCCCTACTCTTTAATTAAGATGTGAAATTTTGTATTGGTTATTTCTTGGTGCCACACTAGTTCTGTACCCTGGTAATTTTTAATGTGCAATAAATATATCTTATTAACTAAGTGCAAGGGCTGCACTGGGAGAATATTGGCCCGAGGTCTTGACAGTAGGGACCAAGCGCAAGACCGAGGGCCGATATTCTTCTGGTACGGTCCTGAGCAAGCTTGGTTAATAAGAGATTTATTATAGAACTGAAGTTCAAAGGGACACAAGTGCGGTATCATTTGGGACCATTTGGGAAAGTGCTTGGTCCAATACTGAGAGAATATTGACCGGCAATAGAGCATTTTGATTGGTTGATTTTAGTTATTGCACCTCTGACTGCCCGAGTTGTGGATTAATTCTTTGATATCACATGAAAAGAGATACAGTAACACATAACAGAACAAAAAAACGAACTGCTGCAGTAGACTATTTCCCTCAGCATTGACTTTGTAGATGCTTGTCACAAATGAACCAAACTATGGCTTGGCTCACCACCCACTTCTCTGATTTCTGTGGTACAGCATCACACCCCACAGTCCAAATGTGAGGGGTTCAATTACTAGTGGGGATTACCGTATTTATCGGTGTATAAGTCGAACCTGTGTTTAAGTCGACCCCCCATTTTCAAGGTCAGAAATTGGATATTTCATTATTTCTAGTTAAAGAAAAATTCAGACTTAAAGAAGTTTCCCAAATGGTTGATCTCTTATTTCTGAGAATGCATTGAAATCAAGGTGAACAAACAAAAAAAAAATGCGGAGCAAAATGTAACCGTGTGCTGTGAAGTTTAGTAGCACTTGTTTACATCACCAAGATTCATGATTTAAGCATATACACGCACTTCGATTTACTGGAGAAGTAATTTACCAAATTTTGTAACTCGCTTTGAAAATGAAATCTTCATGTATTTAAATAACCTTTCTTTCAATGTCGAGTTTGAAAGGAGATTTAGTAGACTGAAGGAAGACTGAAGAGCTTCGAAGGATCACTTGATGAAAACACTGCCATTTTGGAAAACTTCCCAGCCCGGATAGAATTTAAGAATCTCCTTATTATGTTCAAAGCAATTCACGGCCTTGCTCCTAAATATCTATGTGATTTACTAACATTTAAATTGTCCTTATATAACCTTAGATCTTCAGATAGTATTTTATTTTCTATGCCAGCTACTCGATCCAAGACTTTAAGTGATCGAGCTTTTATGGTAGCGGCGCCAAGGCTCTGGAACTCTCTTCCAAAACAACTTCATACGATTACTAATGTGGACAGTTTTAAGGCGCATATTAAGACTTATCTTTTTAAAACTTTTTATCGGTGAGCAATTTTATTTTCAGTTCTATTCTCAGTTTGACATATAATCCCGGTAGGAACATAGGTTACGTTATTACGCCCTATGTTTTTTTTTTCCTCTTTTTAATTAGCTCAGCATCTAGAAGTTCAGTATTACGATAAGAAAATTAATAACAATGATGAAGATGGTGATGCACGACTTTCGCCATAACGGACACTATCTGCACTTCCACAGAAAGACCGAGCTGTTACAAAGTGCGACAGGCTTTGTTACAAAGTATGGCAGCTGAGAAGGACTGTTGTCGGTGGTAGTGACTGACGTTTCGACAACCTGTGCGGAAGTCATCATCAGAGTCAAGTGAATGATTGTTGTCAGTAATTCTACTGACAACAACAGGACTACACTCACCCGGACGATCAGACTACACCTTCACACTTAATCAAAAGTGTAATGCACTTTTGATCATTGCATGTAAAAAGCGCATTATAAATTGTTAAATTATTATTATTATTATTATTATTATTATTATTAGCATTTGCCTTGTCACTAAGCTACTGTAATCGTTCAATGAAAATGGGAGTTCAGCACTGTAAACAGCAGTGAAGCTATAAGGAAAAATGTCTGCCCTACAGATCAGAAGATACAAACTTTTTCGTCGATGAAGAACGCGCTGAAAACTGACAAACTCGAACACAAGTAGAACTGATTTTGTAAACTTGGTTTTCTTAATGGACTTCAGGCAATTGTTATGCTAATTTCTTGGATTGCTTGGGTCAGGTCTTTGTATATGATCCGTGTGTAAGTCGAGGGTGATTTTTTGGGGTGATTCTTTGGGCTGATTTTTCAGTCATAGAAGGTCGACTTGTACTCGGATAAATACAGTAAGCTCTTTTTATGCCCCACCTTTGTGGGAAAATAAAAACATCTATTCAGAAAAAAAATAACATTCTGAATTCCAATTCGACCTGAAAACAGTGGACAAAAAGAGCCACTCAGTGGAATGTCCATTGCCAAATTTCCCATTAGTTTCCATTTCCCATTTTTTTCCCATTATGGTTAAGTGACACTTAAGCTCAAAGTTTGCCATCTAAACTACTCTTTCATTTGAAATTTTTGGTCAACTTCTACCCCCTGATTGATTCTCATAGACTGAGCAACATTGGTTTCTGCAAACATACTATAAAATCTTTAAAAATCTACACTTACATCTCTGTCTTGGCCTCGGTCCGTGACAATTGCTTTAAAGTTAGCTCTGTCTTGAGGAGAGTCATTATCTACCTGTCTTGCCAAAGCCCGGAACACATCTTCATGAGTTGCTGTGTCTGGAAGACAACTGTTGAGAATTCTTTGTAGCATTGGCTGCAATGCCATTTTCTCTAGTTCAAGTATTGCTTTCTCTGTATCTCCCTCAGTGGTATCCAGGGCACTTATACAATCTGTTTTGGCATAAACACCTGCCTGCTGTAATTCTCTTACCTATTCAGTAAAAGCAAAGTATTGCATGAGGGAAATGTTACTAACAATAATTCATTTTGTCAGTATTGAATCACTCCCATGCTATAGAACAACTAGCAGACCAAAACTTAGTTAGGCTTCCCTTTAAAAATCTGCAAAATATTTAAACCAAATCAAACACAGCTCAAATATTCCAATTCAGATAATCAAACGTTTTGCGGGCCTTGAAAGTGTATATGTTCTCATGCCCAAGTGCAAACTTCTGTACTTTTGCAAAGAAATTTCAATTTTTTTCAAAAGGCATAAGTGAAAATGATCACTCCCATTTTCATCACTTTTATCACTATGCATATTTTCGTAAAATACATCACCCCTATCATTAATTGGGTGAGGATTAAGGAAATTATTTGCAATTTTAAGCATGTGACAACTCGCATCCATACCTTCTTCTTGCGGTTTTCCATACATTTATTGACTGCACGCGAGACTTCCCCAGTGCATTCAATTAGAGCATTTTTGGCTTCCTCTGGGCTCACATTCCCAATTTCCTGGGAGTTTTCTGGCACACTCAGCTCCACCATGACTCTATGAATTAAATCATACCATGTAGTTTGCAGCCAATGGATAGGACCATGACGATCTTCTATGCCGAGGATGGATGCAATGTTCACCTCCTCTGCTGTAAAGCCTTCTGTTTCTCCAGCCTGTAAGGATCAAAATAGATGGATGGACTAGGACTGTAAAATCACAATTACGAAATGCTTTAGTGTGATTAATAAAACTATTCAAACTATGCAATTATATTTAGCTCCCTGAAAGAGTGTCATAATAGAGAACTCTGAGTTGAAAGGCCTCAAAATCTTTTCAATTACAAAGCTTAAGAATTGAGATGTCTATGATTGGCCATCAATGTGATTGACTTTCTCCATTTGAGCAGCAAAAACTATTTATATCAACAGGTCTCTACTAAAACGCTAGCAATCATGTCAAATACGAAGTAAATGAAACCTCTGTCAGATAAGAAGTAACATGCTCATTAGATACTTACGGTAAGTTCAATCCTGGACATGACAATTTTCTAAGACCAACGCAATATTAAGAATATTAAGAATACCTTTAACTGAATGTATGTTTTACCTTCAGCCATTCAACATAACGAGCTCCAGATATGTAAATCTCTTCTTGATGTCGTCGGAAAGTTTCATCTACAGGTGGGGGATTCCATGCTGTGACTGGAGGTGTTGACAAGTAACCAGTGACGAGACTGACAGGAGAATTTCCAGCAGCTGATGGATTGATCTGTTAAAAAGAGTAATTTTTCACTGGCTGAGTGGAATGAAATAAGTGAAAAATGTTTTTCTCACATGCCGCTGGGGCCTGGGTATAGGTCACGTGACCTATGGGGCGAGCAGCTGTTTTTGTTGCGTCCGCAATTGCCGACTTTCCCGCCCACCCACCTTAAGATTTTAAATGCTTATACAATACCAGTATAATGTACTAGCCTGGAACTTTTTTCATTATTTTTGGTCTTGGTGTATGCTACTTGTATTAGCTTTGAATTTATAATAAAGGTCAGGTTGCAACTGCAGCGGTCAGCTTAACATGGCTACCAGCGGTGTGTGAGAAAAGGTGTTCATAAGCAATTATATGACTGTCTGGCAGAGAGAATGTGCAAAATGACTGAAGGCACAAGTTGCAGTAAAAATAAACATGCTTTTGAACGTAACTTCTTCCTATAATGCCCATACATTATCCAGTAAACAGGTGATGAGAATACTCATCTTGATCCAATTTCAAATTCTCACAACTAGTTTACAAGTAAATGTTTAGAAGCTCGGCAGAGGATTAACAATTGCATCATGAGAGTTTAAGGGGCTGAAAACAAAAGTTGCTAATTAAAAATGCTTTTTTTTTTTAGTTCACAATGTAGTTTTCTCCTTTGCTCTAACTGACTATGATGACTTTGGTTTTAGTTTTACAAAATTCAAATGAAATTCACATAAATTTGCACAAGAAAGTGGAGAGGGTGGCTGCTGAATATTAAATATTTCAATAAAATTATTTTTAAACAACCTTTTAACTCCCATCAGTGACCAAGACAGAAATTCTCCTTACAATATCAATACAATATCAAGCAGACAAGTGATGAGAATGAAAAAAAAATATCAATAGGGGGATTGTTGGTTGATTCAATACCAAATTCTCAGAACTAAAGTCATAGGAATTGAATGGCAGACTATAAGGAGAATTCCTAATGAGATCTTAGGAGTGAAAAGGATAACAGGAGAAAAAATTTCATACCTCTGGAGCTAGGCCTGTTGCACCCAATGGATCTACAAATGGAGGTGGGGGCACAAATCCATGCGGATCATGAGGCATGCCAGGGTCTCTAGGAAAAGGAGGATTTACACCTGGATAAACCATTCCAGTTTGATTTAGGATTCCCACCTGTGCAGGACCAGCCACACCTGGATAGGCAGAACTTCCCAGAGGAGGACCTCCTGGTACAACTGGTGCTGTTGTATTTGCTGCCTCCCATGGCTGGCCTACTGGGGGCATGGTGTTCCCAAGGAGTGGTCCTATAGGTGGTCCTACAGGTGGTCTCATAGGGGCCCCTGTTTGTTGCGCTTGTGGATTGGCTGCGCTCCCTGTTGGAGCTGCTTGAGAATTTTCCAGGTCTGGTTTTTTGGTTGGCACAGTTGAAGCAGGGATTTGTTGGCTGCTTATATGTGCGGCCAGATTAGTTACAACCCGTGGTGGATAGGCTTTCTCCATCTTTGACTAAAGTAAAAAATGATAATAATTGATAAAAATATTCCCTCTCAGAGAGTGTATATAATAGTTACAGATTCACACAGTGGATCTGTAGTGCATTGCAGCTTGCAGTCTTGTTGATTTCCTTTCCATTTCTAAATTTTGACCTCGAAACAAAGTGTTTGATCCAAAGCATTTTAATTTCAGAGAAAGTAACAAGAGGTAACAAAACTGGTTAATTCGGCAACTGTTTATTCACACAGAAAAACAGAGAAGCTCTTCAACTGAAAATTTTGATTAAATTGTAAATTAAATTACCTCAATTTATCACTTAAAATTAAAATGATAAATAAGGAAGTATGACAATTCTTAATTTCTGATTGCAACTAAAAGGAAAACATATTAACCTTTCGTTAACTGCATTTATTCTGAGAGTAACTAAGATACATTAAAAAATATATTTAAGGAAAAATGAAATGCAATTAAAACTGAAAATAACTATGAAACAACATTATGTTACCAAGCTGCAATCTGACCTGATTTCTCACAGGCATTTTCTTCTTAGGAGGTAGTGGAGTAGTTCTTGATTTAAAACACATCGCACAAATTCTTCTATTCTTGTTTATATATGTGCAGAATTCACACGGCCATTCCTGGTCAGGATCTGATAAAATGTGAAAACTAAGTACACCTTATTCCACAGTATAATGTATATCATAATGTGTGCAGATAGTCTGTGAGTTGTGTGGTGTTTTTTTAAACCCCATAGGGAGAAGAAAGGGGAGAAGAATAGCAAGGAACTATACAAAATATACAAACAGTGAGGAAAGTGTCCCCTCGTATCAGTCGCAATTAAAGATTGGGATATGTCAATTAGCTAAATTCTGACACTATTAAGTTTATAGGGCTGGCATACATTTTTCACTGAGTGAGCATGAAGTGGTGGGGTTCTACTATACACACCTTCATCTGCAAAAGAAATCTCTGCACTTCTAGCTGGGTCTTGAGCAGCCAAACCAGGTGAGGGGAAATTTCTCACATCCACCATTCCTTGACTCTGGGGTAATGCTGACTGGTTTTGAGGCGTTGAATCAGACTTTGCAGGTAAAGGTTTCTTACAAAACAAGCAGGTCTTATTACCAGCAGAGTTTAGGCAAAAGCAGTAAGGGCAGGAAAGGGCTCCATCTTCCTCTGGACTGGTAGGTGATGGTGGTGTACTTATTGGTGTCCTTGATTCAACTGGCATTTTGGGTTTTGCTGTCTTTAGCTTGGGTGGTGGCAAAGGAGGTGGGGCTGAACAGACAGAAAAAAATAATAATTCCAGTCTGTTAATAATAAATCAAATACTATACACTTCTGGTGAACTATTAATGTAAAAATCTAAAGAAGACTGTTCAAAAACCATAAAACTGAATTTAAGAATGACTCTCAAAAAAGAAACGACAACTTTGAGTTTAAATTTAATTTAATTTAATTTAGTTAATCAAATTACCCACTGATATGCACACAGCTAATGAATTTATTACAATTAATTCATACAACTACTGATACTGTGATTCCAACAATGATTCCAACAAGGCTCAGAAGTGCCAATCAAAGTGTAGGACCAAAAAAGTAATAAAGACAGCAAACTTAAATGGAATTTATTTCTTGTTTCCTGTAACCCCGATTGATCAGTTTTGTGCAGCTAGGGTTACCCAGTTAACAGTTCAAATATAAACTATAGTGTCATTCATGATAAGACAATGTCCTTAAAAAATGGTAAACCATTTCAATGTCAGAGTGAAATTGTCAGTGCCTGCTTCATTTACTGTCAATTTTTGTATGAACATGACTAGTCAGTATCAGATCTTATTATTATCTATCACCCATTCTGATGCAATCCTGCCACTGATGTGTTAAAAAAAAAATTATTTTCTTTACCAATTCCATTCCTCTTCAAGTGGGCTGCCAGTCCTGCAGCTTGAAAGTCAGGATCATTTTGTTCCATCCACGCCCTAAACTGTTCACATGTGATACCCTCGTGCTGGTCCTCCCACTATAAACATTTTAAAGTAATAGAGAAAAATTCATTTAGCTTACGTTTAAAAGAAGTCCAGAGTGTTGGCATTCTGATTAAACAAATTAAATGAAAATACTGGAGTTACATGTAATTGTCCAGGGTGTTTACTAAGCATTAGAGATTGAAGAAGGCTACAGCTTCAATCCAGAATTCAGTTGCCCGAGCTGTTTTTCATCCTGACATGGTAAAGATGTGCCTGCTGAAAACCCTTCTGTTATCTGTGACAGTCACTGACCTTTTGAGCAGAGGTCAAAATCAGGATGAATTCCACTCGGGTTGCAATATCATCAATTACAACGCGATTTGTGGAAATAAAAGGTAATGTTTAGCAATTCAACAGCTGGTAATGACCTGTAAAGATCTAGTTTGTTTACCTTCATTTTAATCAACTGTATCTAAAAGAAAGCATAGGGGGGATTGCCGATTATCATACCATCGCCATTGTAATAATTATAGCTATTTTGATAATCACTAATGATACCTTTTGATTGCATTGAAAACAAGTAAACTGGTGACAGTTAGGACACGGCATCTTTAAAATCTCAGGCCTTTCATTTATGAACCCTGATGAGCACTAAACAAAAGAGTAACAATCATTAAATAACTGACATTACAGCCAGCACACGAAAATTTATAAACGACACATGAACGTAGACCTAGCGGTACTGAATCTTTCACACTGAACATGTTTCTGAGTTAAAACGTACTGAAGACTAACTTAACATCTAAATCAGCTCTACAATAACATTTGAGTAGTTGTCTTAACTTAGTCTGAGCGATGTTTGAAAACCGACCAACATAGAGAAGTTTATAATAGTGCGAAGAAGGTTTACCAGAGTTAGAAGAGGCATTTTGCCCAGTAGGAGAAGGATTATTTTTCTTAGCTAGATACCTGTAAATGATCTTGTCTATGACCCAAGATGCAAAACAATTTTTCTGTAGCAAGAAAATAAGTTTCTTGACATCCAGATGAAAACCAACCCAGGAAATATTGATCTTATATACTCTGTCAATTTAAGAATGGCATTAATGGAAACAGTGACTTGTAGAGAATGTCCACTAAGTTTCCTAAATATATCTTAATTCTTGAATCAGCACTCTAGAAAAATTTAAAAGACAATAAGAATGTTCTTACTTGCATTTTCGTTTTTGTGATTGGCTGTTTTCATGGTTATCTTTGTTGTTTTGTTTCTCCTTTCTTCTTATTTTAGCGATTGTGATAACTCTGGTTTTGTTTTTTGACACTCAAGTGCAAACTGCCCTAATTATAATTTTTGGCAAGGCTCTGATTGGAAAAAAGCCTCTCTAAGAGGACAAATTAAGAGCAAAGTACACAATTCAAACCTTCATCCACTGTGTAGTTACTATCCTTTTCATCATTTCCCCTCTGAGAACTTGGCGGAGTTGTGCCAAAAGATGGTGGCATAGGGGGTGGCCTTAAAATTGGTCTTGTTTGATCCTGGATTTGATTTGATCCTTGAAAAAAATTAACAAAGACTTTATCCACTCAACTCTGCATTCACAGTACAAAGTATTGGCTTAATTTAAGCTCAAATATTATTTGGAGATCAAATTCATAGTTTCCTCATGTTCCTTGAGAGTCTAATTCATCCTGAGAATAATTTAAAAGACTTTTGATAACATTTTGCATTTAATGCATCAGAATTGATGCAGACTTCCAAAGATAATTAAGGCAGTATAAGATAGACAGTGGAAAACAATGGCACCTTGCATTCCTAAGCAAATTTGAAAAACATATCATACAAATTAAAACTCACTTTGCATTTGTGAAACTGTATAAGTGACAATTGATTCACAAGTGATTAACAACTATATCAAGGCCTTCATATCTGCTCTTATGCCTACTCAATTATCAAGAATATGCCCTGAAGAAGGAACTCACTTCTTATCACAGCTTGCGCAGCCAGTTGTTGAGTTCCAGCTTCAAAAGAGGGAGGTTGCTGTATGACTGTGTTCTGTTGTACCTGAGGAGTGGAAGATTCAGGCTTTGGGGGTCGACGAGCTTTCTCACTAGGTTCGGGTGTTTTAGGAGGTTGCTTGATGTTTCGTCTTGGTGCAGGCACAGGCCTTGGTCTGGGTGTGGGTCTGCAAAAATTAAAAATTCATCACATTCTCTAGGATTTAAAAGAGTTTCAAATATACATAACCAAAAAAAAAAACAAAACAAAACAAATAAAATGAGAGTTGTTCCCTTAAGAATGTACTTAACTCTAACTCATTGAGGTCTTTGCCATGCATTGAATGAAATCATATGCATAGATAGTATGAAAAAATTAATTATCATCAATCCATTCAACTGACTCCATCACAGTCAGACCATGTTATGCTTGAGAACTAGGCTATCAAAATCATAAATTGATTGAAAAATAATGACCAAGAAAACTTTGTTCCTTTGGGTACAAAATTTTTTTTTCCTTTTTTTTACCAACATACTCATCTTTGTCACACACTTAACAATTCCTACAGACCAATGAGACCTTCCTTTGAACTTGTTTTTCAGAATAATCTTGATGATCGTTTTCATTCTGTAACAAACTTTACATAACTTACTGGTCACCTCAAAAATAAGTAAACATATATCCTGTAGAGGAAGTTAAAACATGTTTGATTCTCCTATAATGCATGTCTTAAATGAGGAAGTCAAAATTTTCTTGTAAAATATTATGAAATGGAAGTTAAAAATTAAAGCTTCCAAATCCATATAATTGATATGAATTAATTTTTTCCTAAAAAAATATCCTGTCTGTTATCACTCAAACACAAATAGATATGTTGTAAGAGTCTTTCATGTTTGTCTCGTTTTGTTGTTTAAGCATATTCAAAAATAATATTTTACAGTCCCTCTGTGATGTCAACACTGTAATGTTACCCAAAAAGGACTAATTTTTATGGGGTTTTCCCTCTAAATCACCTTAATACCCTTAGATAAAGATCTAAAATGGAATGTCCAAACGAGGGACAACTACCTAAAGCCTAAGAATAGAAATTCCCTCAATGGCCATCTTTGTCAAAGAATCCCATGAATACATGTTATTTTTATGGGTTTTTCTCTGAGGAGAAAAACATTCCTGAGGATAATACACTGTTCTAATTGGCTGTAATGAGTACTCTTTATTATTAGTACTGGATGATATATAAATTAAAGTAAAGTCCTATTAATTAAACTAAGTAGTAACTCATGGCAGACATTAAAAAAAGCCAGCTATAACGTTTAAATAATTGTTTGTTACTGTTAACAAAATAGCTTTAACTGAAAACTACAAATAGTGCAACCTGTGCATGTGCTGTGTGCAGTTGTTGTGTATTTTGTGTAGTTAAGTTTTGATTTTGTTTTTTTTTTTAATTGTGAAAATATTTTACCTAAAGCTAGTCTGTTTCTTGCATTTTGTCATAATTTTGATTAAATGGAAGCAAGACCTTGCTTCATCCAATTCAATCTATACTTGTGTACAACAAAACAGACTCCTGCTTCAAGGCCATCCAATTTTGGATCCAATTTTTGGATTTTTTTTTTTCGCAATCACTCGACTGTATGATTTAGGCCAAATTGGACTCCACTTAGTCCTATAACCATTACTTTGGGTCATAAAAGGATCCAGATAGTCTGTCTACATCCACTTAAACAAAAAAAAAAACAGTCAGCTGAATACAGGTGGTAAACATTGGAAGACAAAATTGAGACTTTGGCTGATGTCTGCTTAACACAGTTTTTAAATTACCATGAATATTCAAAGTCAAAGTTGTCAGTGTTTATATTTTTTGTGTTTTCAGTTATTGAAGTGCAGCAAAAAGAACTTTTCTCATACCTTGCGGCATCACTAGCACTTGCGGTTATATTAGACACAGCAGTTCGCTGATTCTGAGGTACTGGAGAGGAAGGAGCAGCAGCAGCACCACTGCTAATTGGCTGATCTGATGGAGTGGCTGTCTCTGTTTGCAGCTGGCTCCTGAAATGACGTTGACGAGAAGCATGCTTGTGATACAAACTATCACAAGGAGCACAAAAGGTGTCCTTACACTCTTTGCAGAACTTGGTTGCATTTGATTCTCCACATATACGACACTCAAAATTAGAGGAAACCTGGGTGTGAGAGTTTCCACTTGCTTGGGCTTGGGCTTGGTCAATACCATCTTCAGCATCTTCATATTCAGAATCTCCTTCACTTTCAACATACCGTTCAGAAACTTGTTCTTCGACTGAGGCCTGTTCTTTATGCTACAAAAGTCCAACAATTAGATACGTTAAATAAATATCCATTGAATCACTCTCAGTTGTAGTACTGCAGCTGTGCCAACTGTAGTTACTGTGGTTGTTGGAGCACTTTTTAATAGAGTGTTAGTTTCCTTTTTTGACAAAATGACTTTACAGCAAGTTTTCCTGATAAGTCTTTAGCAGCACAAAATGCCTGATCTTGTCCCAGTTTCCATAGCACAGAATGTCTTGGAAATTGGCCACTCTCTCAAATCAGAAATTTTGATTTAGCAATAAACCCCCCCTTGGCAGTACCCATAAGTAAACTATATATCCTAGGGTGGAGAGGCATGAATCATGAGTAGACATGTGTGAAAATACCACACAAAAAACCTCTGAAACAGAACTTAGCTGGATCTTTTGAAACATAAAGGCTGATAGTTTTGAAAGAAACTGTTTGGGGCTGCGTCGGTGGGAGTAACGAAATAATTTGGATTTATCAATAAAGTTGAAATGGTAAATTGGCCACCGTAACGATTACAAAAGCTGACGTTTCGAGCGTTAGCCCTTCGTCGGAGTGAATGTTTTGCTCCGACAAAGGGCTAACACTCGAAACGTCAGCTTTTGTAATCGTTATGGTGGCCAATTTACCATTTCAACTTTGTTGATATATCCAAATTCTTTTGAAACATGTTCTTTTCCCAAATTTTGCCTGCCACTGGCCTCATAAAAAAACACCCTGATGGAAAATACCATTAAGAATTCAACATTATGGTGACCACTTTTAGCCTGGAGAAGTAACTAAACCAGCTTTTTCACTCATTCTGTAGATGATGAGACCTCCTTACAGGGGATACCTGGTTAACACTGATTCTGGGTTATTAATTAAAAATGGTTACTTTAACAGTGATTTTAAACATCACCATTTCAATGTGTTTCCATTTCCCATCAAAGATTTCTCAGTCTCACCTTTTCTTGCGGTGGAATGGGAGACCTTCCCCCTGGTCTTCGTGGTGATGGCGTTGGTGGATATTGGTTACGGGCACTGGTTGGAGGTGGCTGACTGGGTCTTGAAACACCTGATTCTGTGCTTACTGAAGTTGGAAGTGAAGGCCTTGACACCCTTGGCGGAAAACGCTGTGGAAGTGATCGTTCAAAGGTGGCCTGGAACAGCCTGGGAAGTTCAACTTCTTCCTGTGGGACTGGTGGGTCCATCTCATAAAATGGATGCTTGTTTACCAGCAGAGTATCAATTTCATACCTAGCAAAGAACAAATCTGTTGCCAGGTCTTTCACTCTAGCCACATCAGGCTCAGGTACATTTGAAGGGAAGGCAACACCATCGTGTATATCCTGTGTGTATCCCATTTGTGATAAAATATCCCGACTACCAATGAGTCGACCAACATGAAGTTGGACAAGAGAACTGGTAAATTTTACATTCCTCCAATAAGGAGGACGATTTTCCTTTATCAAATTGGAGGCATATTTTTCTAAGATGCCTAGGCCCTGAGTGAGATGAAGGAACCGAGGTTTCTCCTAAAATGAAAGAAGAAGAAAAAAAAGATGCATCAATAGCAAAACCTACAACTGCATGGTCAGGAGTATGAATTCACAAACTCATTCTATACTTACCTTATTTGCCTCAAACACTCGCCAGATATCAAGTTCAATATATTTTCTCTCAATATTCACATCCATATTTAAGACAAGTGAGCATCTCTCCAGCAGTGTCTGTAGAGAAGGATCAGTCAAATCCACAAACTCCCTCACTACATTTTCCCTGTACATTCTTAATTGACTTTCTATCTGATCTTCAGTAAGATGGTTAAATCTTGCTGCATTTTCCAAAGGGATTTGCCTTCTTCTGACTGTTATATAAATAGGACGTTCCTCAACATATGTTGATTGTTCTGATGGCATGTTTGGAGGCCCTGAGGCAAGTAAAAGATCAGAGGAAGATTATTCTTAGTGTTAATGTATATATCCATTAAAATAATAATCACCAGTCCAGTCATACTTGTACTTTAATGAAACAAAATCATCTTTACTTAGAGAAACACAAAGCTTTTTTCAATTCAAGTCAGATGAGATAAAGTGATGGTAGTATTACAAATCCTTAAAAAAAGAATCCATGAATTATGTCCAAAAAATTATTGTCATAAACAACTGCCACCTTTTTCACTTTGGCAGATAAATGGCATTTGAAGACTCACAAAAAAATAAAACTCCACTTTTAATCTTTTGCTGAGAAAACAGAGATCCTTGCATGGATAACAAGTGATAGTAAATAAATAATGATTAATCAAATATAATAACTGTAATTAGTAGTAAGACTAGTTGGTTGTGGTCAATACCCATCTTTATTACATGACTCGAGCAGTCAGAGGGCCAATAACTAAAATCAACCAATTCAAAATGCTCTATTGCCGGTCAATATTCTCTCAGTATTGGACCGGGCACTGTCCCGAATGGTCCCGAATGGTCCCGAATGATACCGCACTTGTGTCCCTTTGAACTTCAGTCGTATAATAAATCTCTTATTAACCAAGCTTGCTCAGGACCGTACTGGAAGAATATCGGCCCTCGGTCTTTTTTGTACGGACCTCGCTGTGCTCAGTCCGTACTGTCAAGACCACAGGCCTATATTCTCCCAGTACAGCCCTCGTGCTTGGTTAATAAGATATATATATCATAAGGTCTGAACAGTTACTGTTACAGTTAGAGAAAACGTTACAGAAAACGTCAAAATGTTACTGTTACAGAAAACGTCAAAATGTGGTAAGAACATTTCATAACACTCAGCTGCACTTCATGAGCCACTTTTTTGTTCTTACCTCATTTTGATGTCATCTGTAATCTGTTACATAGCAACATGGAATCTATTTGTTGATTTTGTACCAACTAAATAATAAAATATTGGAGGCAAAACTAACTTAGGATAACTAAAATTCAACAATGGCTGAGCAATGCCTTCAAGATAAGAACAAGTATGACTTCAAGCTCAGGAGAATGCTTGACTGGCCGAGGATATCCAGCACTTACTTTGCAAAGGTCTCTCTGCAGGGTTCCCACTTCTAATATGGGAACCATCCCTTGCCTCATAAGGAATAGGTAAGCCACCATTCCAAGGAGCAGAAGACTCAGATAGAGAAGCGTCTAAGTCGGTAGCTGCATTTGCATCAGAAAGGTGGTTTTGTTGTCTTGGAGAGTTCCTATTTTCCATTATCTCCAAATTTTTATGGTTGTTTGTAAATTGTCTCTCTTGTTGAGAAGGTTGAGGCAAAACTGTCTGCTAACTTGATTTATCAGAAATGTAGAGATGAACTAGTTAGTGGAATCTATCTGATAATGTTGCAGATGAAAAGGGTAAAGTTGACATGTTGTCTTTACATGTCCTCTTCATCGATCTGTCCTCAACTGCAAAACAATTAAAAAAGAGAGGTTTTAAATTTTTGTAAACACTAGTTGGTGCAGACCCTTAAATAGGAGGGATCCCAAAAAGGATTTCCTTTAATGCTTTTAACTGAGGGAGGGGAATTAAGGAAGAAAGGCTGATAGTTTCGAAAGAAACTATTTGGGGCTGCGTCGGTGGGGGTAACGAAATAACTTGGATATATCAACAAAGTTGAAGTGGTAAATTGGCCACCATAACGATTACAAAAGCTGACGTTTCGAGCATTAGCCCTTCGTCGGAGCGAATTAAGGAACAGGCTATTTCCTATAAAGTCAAAGTAAGAATTGTGTGGAGACCTGCTGTTATTGCTGTTGGGTCCTTCAAATGAGCATTTATTCATTCCTTCTTGAATGTAAATCCTACATATCATATTATTCGCATTTGTACATTGTATGACTGTCAACATGAAAAGAAACAGGGAAAAGAGGAGGGACTTCTTCCCTGTACAATCCTCTAACTTTATTTAAAATACTCTGAAATGCCACTATAAACAATCCAAATTCTTTCAACTGGCAAAAGTTAGACACTAAAAATACAATTGGGTTGTGATTTTGGTCAGGTCCAAACCACACCCAATACTTTCAGGGCCACCCAAAAGCTAGTTCATTAACTCACAACAGACTCGCCTTAAAAGAATAAAGGGGATAAGTTTCTAAAGAAACTGTAGTACTGTGTCAGTGGGGGGAGTATGACAACATAAATTGGTATTATAATAACTATCAAATGAGTTGATAATGCTAGTTCTTGCCTTTTGACCAAATTACACCCCTAATCTTTTACAGCCAACTTCATCACTACAAACTTGACTGATCATGTAGCCCTTTAACTATCAAGATCTGATTGTTAATTCTCTGCTTTAGCTGTTGTACATTTACTTTTAAATTAGTTATAACAATCTGGTATTAGATCAGGATAAAAAATTCTATGGGAAAATTCATTACTTGACGAGGGAATTCCGCATTAAATTGCACGCAAAGACCGATATCGCACTCATCGCTTTGCGATTTGTGCGATATCGGTTTTCAAGTGCAATTTAATGTGGAATTCACAAGTGAAGTAATGGATTTTCCTTGAATCGCATGACGGAATAAAATGAGAAAAAAGGAAACAGCATTACTTAAAATTGTTATGCTTAAGTAGATGCGAAACAATTTTACTTAGCCTCGTTTTCAACTCGCAATTCTGTGCTGAATACCTTGCTTCATTAACCAATCAGAATGCAAGATTTTATTCAATGATGCAATTCTACCTGCAATGTTTGAGTATTCTCATTACTTGTTTGTTGGAAAATTTATCGATAATTTAGAGAAAAATTGCATGCTAATCACTTTTAGGAGCGAAAGGGTTACCACAAAGCAATTTGGTTACGTCACCTCAGTTGAAATATGCAAATTGGTCACCGTAACGAATAAAAAAGCTGACGTTTCGAGCATTAGCCCTTCGTCAGAGCGAATATTTCAACTGAGTTGATATAACCAAATTACCTTGTTACCCCCACCGACGCAGCACCACAGTTTCTTTAGAAACTTTTAGCCTTTACCACAAAGC